ACCCTAATGAACAAACAGCCAGGGCTGAGAACCATTGCTTTTAGAGTCTATTCTGTCTCCCTCTCTTTTCCCTTAAAAGCTTCCTTGAGCTAGTCACAATTTGATTCATTTTTATGATCCCACCTGAATATTTCCCTTCTTTGAAACAAGGGTTCTCAAATTTTGTTGCACTTTAGAATTTAAAGCAATTTTTAAGTCCTGAAGTCCAGGTCACACTCCACACCAATTACATAAGAACTTCTAGAGATGTAACCTAACTAAGCATTTAAGTATTTTTTCAGACTCCCCAGGTGATTCCAAAGTGCAGCCAAGTTTGAGAATGGGTGCTTTAAAGCACGCTTACTGACATTTTCCCAGTATACATTTGTAGGTTAAAAAACACTCCTTCCCATGGTCATCTCCTGTGTCTTCCTTTGAACACTAAAAACTGCAGAGGATATTTTAACCTAAAATCTTAACTTGTCCTCTGTCTAATCCCACTTACATCAGCATTCATGCCTCAATTGCATAATCATCCTTTAGGGAAACCAGATTTTGCCACATTTGCCATTAAAAAACTTTTTACCCAAGTCAGTGAGGAACTTTTGGCAAGGAAGGGGTTAAGATGATAGCCCAGTTGCATGCTGGGAACTGTAGTTCAATAGCAGTGCCTAGCCAGTGAGGCGCTAGGGGCCTCCAAAGCAGCACCCAGCACCCCACATCCCACACTGCCCTTTGGAGAGGCATTGTCCAGCAGTGACTAACACCTTGGGCACCAGAGTCACAGTGCCTGGGTTTGATTCCAGTGACACCCCTCACTAGCTGGGGGACTCTGAGCATGCTCTCTAACCCCCTGGACCTCCTTTTATTTTTTCTGTAAATATAGAGGAAATAATAATAATAATAATAATAATAATAATAATAATAATAATAATATCCAGACCATGAGGTTTTTATGAGGATTAAGTGAATCAATATACATAAAGTGCTTAGACCAGCAGCTCGCACATGATATTCCTTCTCTGAGTGTCAGCTTTGGTTATTACTGCCTTCTCAACTCCACTCTTGGCCAAACCTCTATTCTCTTGGAGCACAAGAGTTGAAATCCCCTGATTCCACAGTCAGGACACAGAGTCTAGCTGACTTTTGGGAAATTATTTGTAACTGTTTATCTAGATTGTCCCCTGGTCATTGCTCTTTAAAATCATGAGGTTGGGTTTGGGATGATAGCTGATATCATTGCCCTTTGTCCCCGTCTAACAGATCCTGGCACATGTCCTATAGTGAGGGTCCCTTGGTTTTGCCTGGCTAGCGTCCATCCTCTCTGCTTCTGGTAGTAGCACCCAAGTTTGCTTTGGGGACCAGCCCTCTCCCATAGTGTGTACCCCAGGTGGGACTGCCAAAGAATGTGCCCTGGCTTCCCATGGCAAAAGGGGGGGTATCTGACTCCAGCGCAGCCCAATGGACATTCTGCTTTGAGGAGGAACATGTGGATAATAACTGGTTGGAATGGAGTCACATGAGGACATTGCCCATTAGCTCCTGCTGCCTAGATCCCCAAGTTCCCACAAGTTTCTCCATTTCTGAAGCCTGCTTAGACAGCCCTTCCTTGGATTCCGCGAGTCACTCCATCACTGTGGCAGTAAGGTTCTTTTATGTTTAGACTGGCAGAGTCAGTGTCTATTACTTTCTACCAAACAGTCCTTAGTGACATACTACTTCTAATCTTTAAGATCTGGCCCTCTGCTCACTGCCCTCTCCCCACTCCCCATTTAATTCTGGGAGAGTATCAGAAGTTGAATGCCTTCTTTGTGACATGCCTTCCACGTGCACTATCACTAAGCTTAATATCAACAATGCAAAGGTATTCTACTTTACCAATGTGGAAAATGAGGCACAGAGAAGCTAAGCAACTTGCCTAAAGTCACACAGCCAGTAAATAACAGAAATGATATTTTATCAGGTCTAATTGTTGCCCTCAATCAGTAAGTGAAATTTATTGGAATTGAGATCAACAATTCTCTGCCATTTCACAGGCTCCTGGTGTGGGTGAAGATCTTTAGCATCCTCTAATGCTAAAGATCTTTCTTTTTCTTTTCCTTTTTTAGGGGGGAAGATCATAAACCGATTGTAAGAAACGTGCTTTATATCACAACCCTGCATGCACAAACACACACACACACACACACACACACACACACACCCCACAAAGAATGGAAACAAAGTCTTCACAAGGCACTAGCTACTCTTAAAGGTAACAGAGTCCAATTTTGGATCAAAACTATTTTGTTCTTTAAAATTCTGCTTGCACCTATTAGATTGATTTTGTAACCCACTAATGCATCTGACTTGCTGCTTCAAAAACCCTGCTCTATTGAGAAAGCTGCTTAAACTGACACCAGTTTGCATGTCTGAGTGTAAAAGGAGGCAGGGCCACGCTGGATCTTTTAAGGCTCAGAATAATGATTTGTTTACTTGCACAATGTGTGTTTCCTAGGTCACACCAGCCTGAGGGGAAAACTGGGATCAGAACCACGGCACAGGCTGTTCTTTCTCTTTCTGCTTTCATCAACTCTCCCAGAATTGCCAGTCCCTCCTAAAAGACCCCTTCCAGTTTCTGAGAACGCCAGGGAACGTCACACATGTGTTCCCAAATAGCCTTCATTTCCCCTCTCTTCTGCTCAGGCTCCCTGCTGGGATCATTTGCCACTTCCTATGTCTGCGGGGCTGTCACTACTGTGGGACACTCAGGTTGAGTTGTACCTGGTGGAAAATCCAGTGACTTTGGTGATGCCTGAGCCATGGGCCTGGATGAGGATGATGTTGGTGTCACATCTCTACGACAGCTTCAGGTGCCAGAGTACTTTGTGTGGTCCTCACAGCAGCCACGTGCAACGGCATTGTGCCCTTGTTACAGGCGTCCCAAAGTAGATTCTTCTTACCCCCTCAAATTACACAGGTTCAAGGGCAATGGGTTGAAGAAAAAAATCTTCATCCTTGTTCTTAACCTCTTTCTTCTTCTCCAGCTCTGGACCTTGTCCCAGACCAAGCTTGGGTATTCCTACTCTCACCCAAACTGGGAAAGAGTTCTTTCTTTCCCTGGAGGCTTCTTGGTTCTTCCATGTGCAGAGACTCTTGGCAAGGCCATAGTCTGTCATAGTGCCCAGAAGTGCCTGCTTCCTAGAGTGAACTTACACTTAAAATAAATCCATTTTTGTCTGAGAGCTTTGCTTCCCAGGTATCAGGAGTCCCATGTTCAGAATTTAAGTCCTGTTGCAATGCTGATAATGATGATGATGACGACAAATCTTTTTCATGTATTGGACCCCATGCTAAGCACTGTAGATACATTACCGTCTCTCATTCTCTAAGCAACTTTATGTGATATGTACTATTCTACGTACTCCTCCGTTTACAGAGGAGAAAACTGTGCCCTGGAAATGTTAAACAGCCAGCCTATGGTCATGTGGATGGCCAAGTCCAGAGCCAGCCCTGGACCCCTCAGCTCCTCCTCCAGAGCTGGGACTGGACAGTAAGCCTGCTTCAGTCAGGCCTCCCTACCTCTCTGGGCCTCCTTCCAGCTCTGCCTGCATCCTTTCCAGGCCCCTCTTCCAAGGCCCCCACTGTGATGCACAACCTCATATGAAGGCCTCCAAGCTGGTGGGAACCCCGAAGCTTCCACCTTCCTGCTTCCCACATCCTCTCTGTGCCCTTCCAGGGATTCCCAGAGCAGCGCAGGGAAGCCTGGTCAGTAATAGAGCCCCCTCTCCAGGCCCCTCAGGACTTCAGCATAGCAGCAACCTGCCCTCCTCTCACTAGCCCTCTCCTCCATCCAGTTCTGGAGCCTGGAATGGTTCTTTCTCCCTAAAAGGCCATCAGCAATCTGTACTACACGGTTAAAATGGTGCCTGATCATAGTGGGTGTTTTAATTGAATAGGGAATTCAAGTCTGGGCATTTAAATGCCATAGAAAAAGAAAAAGTTACTGTCTTTTCAGAATGCCCATTGTAATTTGTCCTTAGAGTCCCCCCTTCACCACCCATCATGGTCCTTTTTCCACTTGAGCTGACAAACTGAACCACTAGATAAATACAGCTGCAAAGTGAAGTTATGGGTATGATTTCTGTCCCTCATTTGTTTGCCCTCCGAGCTTAACCAAGTCAAATATGAAAGACTGTTCACCCTTTCTTTGACCCTTCTACAGAGCACAAAGCCCAGGGCTGATCACGGCATCGTGATAATCTGATACATTTGAAAGTGAAACAGAGTAGGGGAATTATCTCGTTGACTGCACCGATCAGTTTAACCAAGTATCTGCCAGAGTGTCATCCCACGCAGAGTGGTGGCTCTGCCACTCACCGTCTGTGCGACCTCCTGTACCTGTTACAGTTTCCCCATCTGTAACACTCAGGGATTGGATCCGAGAACTCTGAGGTCCCTGAAAGTTCTCAGGGTCTTTATAGTTACAGAACACATCGTTTGCAAGTCAGATAACTTAGGGCGTGGGTGATTGTTTGAATAAAAAACATCTTCTATAACATTTTCGCCACGTAATTATGTTACAAAGCAGGTTTGCATTGTGCACTTGAAGTAGGATTCAGTTTACAAAAATCTGACTTGCAGCCAGCTTTTAAGTGACACTTTTACTGTTTCAAGTGGGGCTTGCCTGTAGGTCACGGTTTCTAAAAATCACTGTGATATACTCCCTCCCTCCATAGAGCCTTAAGCAGTGAAGCAAGAGCAGAATGCATTCAAAGTCATTGCTTCTCCTGGACTTAGTTTTCCTTTTCTGTTCTATAAATAAACAAACAAAAAACCTAATATAATCACAAATCCTCAAAAAGGAGCTTAAGGATAATAACCTACTGGTCCTTTTGAAACACAAACCAGATCATATCACTCCTCTGCCTAAAACTCTGCAGAGGTGTCCACGGTTCTCCAGGTGGTGGCCAGGCCTTGGCAAATGCTCCTTGCTCCACCTGGAAGGCTCACACCAACCTGCACTTTCATTCCCCCCTTACCTGAGAACTCAGCTCGATCGTTTCTTTGGTGAATTGTCCTTGACTTCCTTCAGGGTAACTCTGAGAAGCAATGTCGGGTTTCTTTGAATGAGCGTGTCCCGACCGACCGTGGAGAGCCTCCATGCGCTATTGCTGCCCATAGCGACACACTGGCTGCTCATGTCGTGCACGACGCGATCCAGGCCCCAGATTCACCCCGGGGTCTCTCCTTTTGTGGAGCCTGCAGTCTTCTGGGTAAACAGAGAGCAGTCAGATACGAGAAGGACCACAACTGCACCACCCTGCCCTCCCCGAGCTTACAGACACGTAAATGAGGGGTGGGAGTGAGTGTAGGGGGAGCCACCTATGAGAAGGGAAGGGTAGACTGTCAATGCCTCCAGTTCTGTGTGTGCAGGGTGAGCTTCTGTCCTAATCACACATTTGCTTAGACAGTCCTTGTACTATTTTCAGTCTAAGAAGCTGAAAGAGAAAGAGTGTGGACTGACATCCCCAGGCTGGCTGTGCCAGCTTGAGGGGTGGCCGCCTTCAGCCTGGTAAGAGGACTAAGCAGACATTCCTCCATCCTAAGCACAGACTATACCGCCCTGCCCCCAAAGCCAGGGCCTCTTGTTTTTCTCTTGTTTAAATGAATCTCCTTCTCCAAAGGGGCATCCTCTTTCCCATCAAATACGACAGTAACATAGCCTTCCATTTTGACTTAATGTTCATAATACTTATGGAACCTCTGTGCTCTCGTGCCCATTCTACAGATGGGGGAATAGATCTAGAGACAACATTGGGCTAATTCTTGGCAGAACTGGACCTTCCAAAGCCACTAGGTCTCTGGCTCCTAGTCTGGCATCTCCTCAGCCTATCTCAGCCCCCTGGGTTCAGCCAGAGCTTTTCCAGAGCCCTGGAAGCCAAAGCTGGCTGCCTCCTGCTGCTAGGGAGTTCCTTCCAGGCTTCTGGTTCTAGGGCTGAAGAAGGGGGAGTGTGAGAGGTGAGGAGGGCAGATTACACACAGAGGCAGTCAACGCTTCTGTCTCCCTCCCTCACCACGGGAGGAGGGGATGGTTTACACATGGGCGGGGCAGATTATGAAAATCAATAATTTATGACAATTAAGTGTCAGAAAAGTATTTACTCACATTCACTCCCTGAAAGTCACATTCTCCATGTGTTCTTGTTTGTCTTTCAGCGATGGCGTCAGTCAGGTGGACTCAGAAAGAAATACCAAGGTTTCAGCCAAATGCTGCCGAGGGAGAGAGTTTCATTTCACTTCATTTTTTTCAGCCAGGGCTGGCTCCAAAGCTAGTTTTTCTTACTAGGTTGTTTGCCACATGAAAAGCAAATTCCCAGAGGTTTCTGAGATTGCCGAGATCCAGGCAAGATGACTGCTCCCACCCACCCGCCCACCCACCCACTAATAAGACATAGTGCTGTCCTATTTTTGGTAACAATTAAAGGGCCTCCCGGTGCAAGCAGAAAGCTGTTTATTTTCTGTTACATCACTTCGCTTTGCCTTCGAAGGCTGGTCTGCGCTCAGTGTTTTCCTGGTGATGCAAGTCCGCTCTCTCCTCCAGCAGTTGGATCCCTCCCACCTCGCAGCACCTCACAGGTCTCTTCCCGGAGCAGCGCATCGCTGGAGCGAGGAGCAGCTCACGAATCAGCTGCAGGTCCCGGTTTTGAAAAGCAGAGAGAGAGAGGCAGCAAAGGAAAAGGGTGGACTCTTATGTGATCTGGTCTTAGAGCAAGACAAGCACCATCTGAATTCCAGAAGCCCTGTTCATGTTTGGGGATATTTTTCTGACTGCATGGAATCAGAGAGAAGCCAAAGGATGGGAAATGCCTGCATCCCCCTGAAAAGAATTGCTTACTGCCTATGTCTCTTATCTGCGCTTTTGCTGACTGAGGGGAAGAAACCAGCGAAGCCAAAATGCCCTGCCGTGTGTACTTGTACCAAAGATAATGCTTTATGTGAGAATGCCAGATCCATTCCACGCACCGTTCCTCCTGATGTTATCTCATTGTAAGGCCCGTAAGCATTTTGATATCTAATTTACTATTTAAACCTTCCAGCCGATGTATTTGGGGCTTTGTATGTATTGGTAGAAGGGCATAGAGAGAAAGATTCCTCTTGCACGCTTGGCCGTTTGACGGGGCTAACATTTTGCTGCATTTAGAAATTCTGATTTTTATTAGCTGCTACAGAACATGCTTAGATACCTCCCACTCCTGAGCATTATTATGAGAAACCTGTAGCAGTTTCATCTCTCCTGCTCCATCTGGGAAGGAACAGTATCGTACTTCACAAAATAGTGTCAAAATAGGGACTGTTTTGCTAAACCGGATTAACATAAGGCTTGTTCTCTGTCTGTGTGTGTCTCTTTGTGTGTGTCTGTTTGTTGTTTTGTTTTGTTTTGTTTTCTTTCAGATCCTTTGTGAGATCTGGTTTTACTGAAATCTCAGAAGGGAGTTTTTTATTCACACCATCGCTGCAGCTCTTGTGAGAAATATTTATATCATGACTATTTTTAATAGAGCATATATTTGGATAAGCCTTCTAGTGAAACAATCTCAGTATTAATTTTGTCAGATGTGATTATATTTCTGGAGAGGAAAAGCTTATCAGTCAAGTGAGAGGTAGATGGGTTTGTTTGCGACTTGATACCAACGGTGCAGGTTGATTCTTGCAATGGCAAATTTGCTAACCTGTCATGCTGCTACTTTCGTGGCTGTTTATGAAGTTGTTGGAATGTTGCAACAATGATCCTAATTTCATTCCACTCTTTTACTTTCATTTTTGACTTGAGAACTTTGGTTATTTTGCTCTGGAGTTTCTGAATTAGTCGATACAGAACACAGCATAACATATGCACTCAAGATGTTGTCCTTGGGGACCTGGGGCAGGCTGCTACTCTGTATGATTTACTGTGTGGGGAAGAAAAATCTAGGTTCTTTCTAAGTAATTCCTTAAAATACTAATTCTCAAGCGACTGTTTTCTAATCTCATCTAATTTATAACTAGTCCCCTTACAAGGAGAAAAAGAAAATATTAATATAGGATAGTGCAAAGGATTAGTTTTTGCTGTGTGTTTTGAGTTGGCCATGAGGGAACCACATATTCAGTCTATGTCTAAAAACAGTCAAAAAATAATATTTGACTAAGAAATCAGATCTCTCCACAGGCATAACGTAACATGTATAATTTGTTCTGATGTGTGACTTCTGGCAATTGGAGTGCTAGTTCTTAGAGCAGGACCACATGGGGGTCAGGAGGTCTCCTGGCGCTCAGGTGTCAGGCAACAGACTGGGTTGTAGTTACCGGTTGCAGGAGAGAGTCAGCCAATTGCCGACCAACTGTGGTTATCTTAACTGCATGACCCAAGTCTGTTTCCTTGTTTGTTTTCTTACCTTAATTGGCCATTTTGTCTGTTTGGGGTTATATATACAGAGGCAAAAGCATGAATTTGAAACAGAAGACACTTGTATATAAATCTCACCCCACTGGTCACTAGAAACTAGACATATAATCGTGTGCAAATGACTAAATCTCTCTGAACCTCAGTCTCCTCATCTGTAAAATGGAAGTGATAACACATTGAAGGGTTGTTATCAGAGATAAATAAGATTTAAGTAGATAAAATGCTTGGCAGAGGGTATGACAAATGGTTACACATTTTATCAGCGGTAGGGTTTTCACTTTTTACATAAAGCTAAAAAGCTAAAATAAAAAATATCACTTATTGCTTTGTCTATATGAAATCCAAAAACTGATTTGACTGTTTTCATTGAATTCACAAACCTGATCAGGTGTTCTGACATTATGTAACAATTTTTGCCAAGGTCCTTTTACTAGTTAATGTCTTTGCAATTAACAATTGAGTAGAATATTCTGAAGGGATTTATCTGTTTGATTGATGGCTAATGGTGTGATTAGGGAAAGTGTTAGCACATCAAACAAATCCAAAACAGACAGAGTCTTTACCACATAAAGGGGCAAAGTCTCCAATGCTGGCATCCTTCCATAGGATAAAAATTGGTTGTATGTGAGAAAGTGATCGAGTGTGCTTATGTTATTTATTTGGTAAATAAAGAGATGGCTCATTTAAAAAACATCCTTTTGATGGGCGAAGGCACTTCTCTCCCCCCAGGATAGTTAAACAGATCAGTCCTTAAAATTCAAGAAGTGTCAGTTGATACATGCTGCTCATATGCCAACACTAGATGGTCGTTAGCTGTGACACAGAAAGCCTGGATGCATCAGCCTCATTAGTTAGCACATCTCCACTCTGTTTTCGCTGGGTGGCCCCAGCCTCGGCAAGCACAGATGCTGGACAATGTTATAGAAATAGTTCCCGGCTGCTGCAGGGTAATGTGATTACACGTATTTAGAATCACAGAGGGAAGCCAAGGAACAGGTTTTTAAATAGCCCACACCGAGTGTATGCCATGCCCCTGTGTTCCATGCTCCGAGTTCCTATGGAACATTCCAGCCCTTATTTCTAAAAGCAGTTCAGGTTTCAGAAATAACAAAAGGACGAGTAATTCTTGCCCCGTAATGTCCTTACTTAACTCACATTGGCTAACCTCAACACGGCAGATTTGTGCCAGGGCTGATCTTACGCAAGATTGTCAGGGGTCAAAGTTTGTCTCAAATCTCCAGGATCCTGTTTCCTAAAGAGTTTGCTCCCCATTCTTCCTGACCAGTGTTTTCCGTTTCCTCCTGTTCTCAGGAAAGGGTCTAATAAGCTCATTTTCACTGAGGAGGAAGGAAATGAAAAGGCTCCCAATATGAAAAGTACCATAATCATAGCAGAGGTGGGAATGGATGGTTCACAGACAAAAAGAGTTCTTCTATGGGACGGGGACACCCAGTGCCCTGAAAACTCCCATTGGAACATAAAGACCAGGGGGCCCATTTTGCCTTTGCATGACTTTTGCCATCAGACCTGGCCTGGATCACACCAGCCACGGCTTGGGGTTTGCAGTGACTTCCAACAGCATTCAAGACCACAGATCACCAAACTAACCTGTCATGTTCTCTGAAGAGATATACTTCAGAATCAATTCTGCTTGACTGATGTACAAAGGCAGCTGGTTTCTTGCTCAGTTGTTGGAAAGGGACAGGAGATGACCCGTTCCCATCACCCACCCTAACAGTCTCATCATTTCATTACGGCCCCAAATGCTTTTTCAGACCCTCTGCAGAAGGCATGATGAGAAGTACTTTTTGAGGGAGACAAACGTAGTAGTTTTTGAAATGTCAGCCTGAGGTACTGAGGGAGATAGACGTAGTGCCTCCTTAAGTTACATACAGTGCTTCAGTGCTTTGGGGGAGAAGATCCTGGTAGGCCGCGGATGGCAGTGTGTTTTGGAGACTAAGAAAAACAAAAGCCCACACTCTGTAAAGAGGAGAGAAAGAATAAAATTATCCAATAAAAATGCATCAGATTAGTTGTACAAAACCTATTAGCAAAAAAAAAATCTCATTTATGGTTTCAAACAACAGCAACAAAACCTTTTCCAAGTGAATGTAATTTCATTCATGTTTCCCATAGGCCTGTTGTGAAACATAACCAGTGGGAATGATTATTCATTCTAGTTTGCTTTTAGTGATAGGGAGTGGTGCTTGTAGTGAATGTAGTTTATAGAAATGTGTTTTCACACAGGACAGCCCTGTCCTCCACAGACGACTGAAATCCCCAATGATGTAGGCTCATTACAGAAGTAAAATTCAAAATAAAGAGTATAAAATGTGGCCACATGGCCATTTGTTGATAAAATTTTTAATAAACTAAATCTCTCCAACTCTTAAGAGAGATCTATTTTCAGGGAGTAAATTACAGGGTTGAGTTAGTATCATGCATAGGAAAAAAAAATCTTTATATAAGAATTCAGTATAACCAGAAAAATTCTAGTTATTCCAATGAGATCTGGTCTCATTTGAAACAACAGAATTGATCCCTCTGGGGCAAAAATATCATTTATTTTAATAGTCCACAATCAACACATAAATATATAGTCCACAAGAAATTAAAAACTAAAAACCAGAAAAGCAAACAGTGTGAACAAGATAAATCATAAGTCCGTCCTTACTAAGGTTTTATCCTTTAGCCCTTCAAAATATTATTTGTCCAGGAAAAAAATATCCATAGCCTTTCTCATCTTCTCAGTGATTGGCCTCTTTTTCTATCCCTCCATATATGACAAGAATAAGAAATATGTAGCAGTCTTCAATAACTACTCAAGCCAAATCTATCAACTAACAGGGTTGCTGGAAGAATGATTGGCTGCTTATGGTTGGGCATGTTTTGGTTTGTGCCCAGCTGATGCCATATAATGGATCAAGAAGTGAAAATGTCGGTCATCTAGGATGTTGTCTACAGTTCTGCACGATGACCCATAGACCTGCTTTTTAACTTCTTAATTGCTATGACTGTGCATAGTAGCCTCGTACAACAAATGTTTTCTCTGAAAGCATATTTCATCCTCTCAATTATTCCAGCAATAGAATTGATTGAATAGGAGTTACCTGTCTCTCATGTCCACTTTCATCCAGATAAGACCTCCCTGAAACAGCATGGTACTCTACTGCCTCCTCTTCAACCAGGACCATAGCCCTCACTGAGGCTGCAAATACTCTTCTGCAGGCACAGGGAGCATCTGCACTGGTCTCCCTGCTGCCAGTCCCCATCCTCCTCACCTCCTTTAGTGTTACCTTCCTGAAACGCAGATCTCATCATGTCACCCTCATGCGTGGAAGCCTTTAATGGCTCCCTGGAAACAAGAGAAACATCTGAACATCTGAGTTGGTAATAATAGAATTTGGCTATTTGTCTAAGGTCATCTCTCACAGTACTGATAGTGCGTGTAAACCTGCGCGCGCGCGCACACACACACACACACACACACGCTTCAAGCTCCATCCATACCAGACTGAAGTACCTCATTCCCTGACCTCTGATTTCTCAAGCTCTGTAGTCTTTACTGTTGTCTCTAGTTCTTCCTGTCATTTTTAGGGCTATTTGTGCTTTTATCTGCTCCGTGTCTCTCCTGGAGGATTCTCAATAGCCACAGTCCTTAGAGAAGAGCTTGGATGTTGTGAGCTCAGATCTTGCTTACTATATATTTGTTGAATTCAGTTCACATTTTTATAAATTTTATACTAGAGACTCGTGTTTTCCTATCAGTAGACAGTCTTGGTCACATTCATGCTCTTTCTTATGATTGGTATACACGATCAGATTTTACACGAACTAGTAAAGTGGAGGTCTGGAAAGTGGGCTGAATCAAACAAATGTGAAGAGATATTTGCTTATGACATCATGATGTCAGACTTCTTCAACAGATGTTTCCAGTGTATCAGAACTCAAAAGACAAAAGAATCCAGTCTATACCCATACCACCCTGAACGCGCCCGATCTCATCTGACCTTGGAAGCTAAACAGGGTCGGGCCTGGTTAGTACTTGGATGGGAGAAAAAGCAGCCAAAATCTTTTCTTA